GTGGGGTTGTTAACCAATGTCATAAAACAACATGTGTACTACTGTTTCATAAGAAACTATTTGTTCTGTAAGCCTTCACCTGAAGTACAATAAAAAACAAAACAAAACAAAGATGTCACCTTGAGGACTAAGCTGCACCTAACCCAAACCATATTTTTAATTGCCTCATATGCATACGAAAGCTCAATAATGAATAAGGAAAACTGAAAATGAACCGATGCCTTTGAAATTATGGTGCTGGCGAAGAATGCTGAATATACCATGGACTGCCAGAAGAGCGAATAAATCTGTCTCGGAAGAAGTACAGCCAGAATACTCCTTAGAAGTGAGGATAGTGAGACTTTGTCTCACTTACTTTGGACATGTTATCAGGAGGAACCAATCCCTGGAGAAGGACATCATGCTTGGTAAAGCAGAAGGTCAGCAAAAAAGAAGAAGACCCTAAACAAGATGGATTGACACAGTGGCTGCAAAAATAGGCTGAAACACAGCAAGATTATGAGGATGGTGCAGTGTTTCATTCTGTTGTGCACTGGGTTGCTATGAGTTGCAACTGATTCAACGGCACCTAATAACAACAACAACAAGGCCACTGCAATGCAGAATCCTAGCTTGAGAAACAATAGCACTGAGAAAAAAAATGACTGGCTAGATAATGCCCAATATATCCCTTCCTTAGCTACACGAGCATGGTGCATTATTTTTGTTGCCACGTGGTGTCATGCTGAAAGGCTGAGAAAAGCTTAAGATGTTTACCAGCCTAATGCTTGGGTGGATGAACATACCTGGCCCAACTTCTGGATTCTTACAAAGGTGATTATCCTGGACTTGAACAATGACATTCCCCAATAAATATTTCTTCCACCTTGTGTAAGCTTGGAAAAATCACACAACCTCATCACGGCTCATGTGCAAAGTATCGCTAATAATACTTGTCTCTAAATATCTTTACGAGGATTAAATGAGGTATCAGATAACTAAGTGCTTAGAGCAGCGCCTGGCCCCTAACAGCAATCAAGACATGTTGTTGTTATTATGATGATGGTCTTGTTACCATGGAGATGGATTATGAAAGTCCAAGAAGAGAGCTTCTCTCTCAAATTTTTAGTCACTTAACAATGCATGCACCCACCTCTGGCACTAAAAGGAAACCAGCAGTAGAAAATGTCCAACACAGTGGATGTATTTGGAATGGTAAATCACTCAGGCTGGTTCCTTTTAAAAACTTCGGCCTCTTCTTTCTTTTCCCACTCTCCTCTTTCCCAGGCAAAGCAAGGCACCCGCATCTTGGAGTAGGGGTAGAGAAACCTATGCATTTGCAATCTGAGAATGTTCCCAGAAGTCACCTCCTCCAACGGTAAGTCTGCCCACTAAAATGTGCCTCATGCCCTTCAGGAAGCTGAAGGTTCTTGAAAGCCCAGTGGGCGAGTGTGAGCGTCTGCACTTTTGAGGCCACCAGGTGTATACTCAATACTTGAGGCTCACACTGATAGCCTGATGCTCTCCGAAGCCCCAAAGAATGGAGTTTAAATTCTAGTTAAAGTCAAAGAAATATAAACAAACAACCTAGCAGTAGCAGCTGCAACAGCAACCACAAAATGTCCTGGCTTCTTGGCAACTCACAACTTACCTTCATACAGCCAGTCGCTCAGGCCATTGTAAATGACTCCTTCCTTCCCGGTAGAAACCACACGTATCACCTGCTTCCCGACTTGTGCACAGTAGTAGATGTTATTTTCAAAGATGAATATCTAATTTGGAAAGAAAAAAAACCACAGAGTATTAACCAAAGAAATGGTTATGAAATAGGGTGGTCTTAAAAAAATAAAGAAAGAAAGAAGAAATCCTGATGGCGCAGTGGTTAAAAGCTCGGTTGCTAATCAAAAAGTCAGTGGTTTGAACCTGTCGGCCACTCCGCAGGAGAAAGATGTGGCAGTCTGCTTCCATAAAGATTTACAACCTTAGAAACTCTATGGGGCGGTTCTAGTCTGTCCCAAAGGGTCACTATGAGTTGACAACAATGGGTTTTTGTTTTTTTTTTCTTTTAACTGAAATCAGCAATGTGTTTTTCAGTTTCTTGTATTTATTTGCTAGGACAAAGGTAGTCTTAGGATAATTTGGGGTTCACTCACAACCAATATAATTTATATTTAAGTACTAATCAGAGATAAATTTCATAGGGTTCACTCAATTTTCTCACTACCATGACTGGACAATTTATGGTTTGAGTACTTCTGGTTATTTATTTATTTATTTTATTGCACTTTAGGTGAAAGTTTACAGGGTAAATTAATACACAAATTATTTTGTGACATTGGTTGGTTATTTTTTTAACTGGCATTTTAAAATTTATTACATTATTAGCAGTTAGCATAGTGCTTGTGTGTCAACTGTATTTAAGTTTCATAAAAGGCAAATTTCAGTAACTGAGATAAGGTACTTAGCATAATGCCTGTAAGCATTATGCTAAGCTTAGCATACAGAAACAGGTGGGGGTTGGGGACTCTGGTTCGGCAGTTAAGGAGGCTCCTACCCATCAATTGATCCTCAGCCCTGTACTGAGCTAGACCAGACATAGAATTCCAAGATGAAATTTTTGACCTCCAGGAAGTTATAACATGCTCGATAATATATTAACATATGCACAAAGTGACTTTTGGCCAAGATCAACCAGGGCTGAAGAATACAGTTCAGACTTTGAAGTGAAGAGCATGATGGCGAAGGCTTACATGTTCATCATTCTTGCGTTTCCATCTGTTCCAGTCATTCCTTGTCAAGGCTCTCTGATGATGCCACCATCCTTCATGAAGCCTTCTTTGGTGCTAGCGTCCGTCCTTCTACACCACACTACCTCAACACATTGCCTCTGGCTCTTCACTTTTACCTTACAGACGCCATGGTTATTTCATAAAGGTCTAATATCAGCCCAACTCTTCTGATAAGCACTACCCTTTCTTTTTGAAATTTTTTGAACAGTTTATTGGGTGTTAGGTGAATGTTTACACAGCAAATCTTTTCCATTCAATAATTCATACATAAATTGTTCCGTGACATTAGGTGCAATCCCCACAATATGGCAGCACTCTCCCCATTTCCATCCTGGGTTCCCTGTTTCTATTTGTTTGGTTTCCCTTCACCTCCCTGCCTTCTCATCTTTGTTTTTTGGCAAATGTTGCCCTTTTGGTCTCATATAGTTGATTGTTCTAAGGAACACATTCCTTACAGGTGTTATTGTTTATTTTATAGGCCAGTCTATTATTTGGCTGAAAGGTGGCCTCCAGGAGTGGCTTCAGTTCCAACTTAGAATGGTGTCTTAGGGCAATAGTCTCAAGGGTGCCTCCAGTCTCTATCAGACCAGTAAGTCTGGTCTTTTTTATAAACTTGAATTTTGTTCTACATTTTTCAGCCATTCTAACCAGGACCTTCTATTGTGTTCCTGATCAGAGTGGTCAGTACTGGTAGCTGGGCACCATTTAGTTTTTCTGGTATCAGGTTAGAAGAGGCTTTGGTTCATGTGGGTCATTAGTCGTTCGGGCTAAGTGCTTCCTTGAGTCTTTGGTTTTCTTCACTCTCCTTTGCTCTAGACAGGAAGAAACCAATTGTTGTATCTTAGATGGTCACTTGCAAGCTTTAAAGACTTACCAAACCTGGATGTAGAATAGTATCTTTATGAACTTTGTTATGCCAGTTGACCTAGAGGTCCCCCGAGACTATGGTCCTTAGCCTTCAAGCCCTGTAGCTCAGTTCTGCGGGGTGTTTGGTTATGTCTAAGAAGTTTCCATAACTGTGCCCCCATGTGCTCTAGTACATATATGAAGTTACATGCAGCACTTACAAATATATTTGTAGAAATATCAACAACCATACCTATATATGAATGAGGGTGTACTCTCGTACATCCTCCCACATCTATTTAGAATACATTTCTATCTATGTATCCACTCACAAATAATTGTTTGTTATTACTGTTGTTGCAGGATTGTATACATTATGGTTTGTACCGCAGTGGCCCTTTATTCTTGCATACCTCTCAGCGTCTTCCTTTGCCTTGGTCATGTTGTACTGATTTCCCCAATATTGTGTATTGCCTTTCCCTTCCAGAATTAACAAGTGTTTACTGTCTAGTTAGTGATTCTCCCTCCCTCACACTCTCATCCCTGGTTATCATCAAAAAATGTTTCTTCCTGTGTGTAAACCTATTCTTGAGTTTTTATAATAATGGTCTCATACAATATTTGTCCTTTTGTGATTGACTTATTTCAGTCAGCATAATGTCCTCCAGATTCATCCATGTTGTAAGATGTTTCGTACATTCATCATTATTTTTTATCATTGCATAGTACTCCATTGTATGTATATACCACAATTTGTTTACCCATTCATCCATTGATGGACACTTGGGTTGTTTCCATCTTTTTGCTATTGTGAATTATGCTGCAGGAAACATGGTTGTGCATATGTCTATTTGTGTCACAGCTCTTATTTCTCTAGGATATATACATAGGAGTGGGATTGCTGGATCATATTGTATTTTTGTATCTAGCTTTTTAAGGAAGTGCCATGCTGTTTTCCACAGTGGTTGTACCATTTTAGAGTATAAGAGTTCCAGTCTTCCCACAACCTCACCAGCGTTTGTTGTTTTCTGTTTAGTTTTTTTTTTAAATCATTGCCATTGTTGCTGGGGTGAGATGGTATCTCATTGTAGTTTTGATGTGTATCTCTCTAATAGCTAATGATGGAGAGCAACTCTTCCTGTGTTTGTTAGCTGCCTGAATGTCTTCTTTGATGAAGTGTCTGTTCATATCCATTGCCCATTTTTTAATTGGATTGTTTGGTTTTCTGTTGTTAAGGTGTTGAAGTTTTCTATAAATTTTAGAGATTAGATTCTTGTCAGATATGTCATTGTCAAATTTTTTTCCCCAGTCTGTAGGTTCTCTTTCTACTCTTTTAGTGAAGTCTTTTAATCAGCATAAATATTTAATTTTTAGGAGGTCTCAGTTATCTAGTTTATCTTCTGCTGTTTGTGCATTTTTAATTATGCTTGATAGTCTATTTATGTCATAAATAGGTCCCCTAACTTTGTCCTTATGTTTTTTTCCATGAACTTTAGAGTTTTAGGTTTAACATTTAGGTCTTTGGTCCATTTTGAGTTAGTTTTTATGTATGGTGTGAGGTATGGATCCTGTTTCAACTTTCTGCAACTGGACATCCGGCTTTGCCAGCATCATTTGTTAAAGAGACTATCTCTTCCCCATTTAATGGACTTTCACCCTTGGTCAAAGATCAGCTGTCCACAGTTGGATGGATTTATTTCTGGATATTCCATTCCATTCCATTTGTCTGTGTGTCTGTTGTTGTACCAGTACGAGGCTGTTTTGACTACTGTGACTGTATAGTAGGCTCTGAGACAGAAGTGTGAGTCCTCCTACTTGCTTCTTCTTCAATAATGATTTACTTATCCAGGGCCGCTTTCCTTTTCATATAAAGTTGGAGATTATTTTTTTCCATTTCTTTAAAGAATGTTGTTGGAATTTGGATCGGGATTGTATTATATCTATAGATCGCTTTGGGTAGTATTGACATTTTCACAATGTTAAGTCTTCCTATCCCTGAGCATGGTATGTTTTTCCATTTATGTAGGTCTCTTTTGGTTTCTTGCAGTAGTGTCTTGTAGTTTTCTTTGTATAAGTCTTTTATATCCCCATTATTGTTGTTAGGTGTCCTCGAGTCAGTTCCAACTCATAGAGACCCTACAGGATAGAGTATAACTGTCCCATAGGGTTTCAAAGGAGCAGCTGGAGGATTTGAACTGCCAACCTTTTGGTTAGCAGCCAAGCTCTTAACCACTACACCACCAGGGCTCCAAAACCAAACCTGCTGCCATCGATTCTATTCTCATTGTGACCCTATAGGACAGGGTGGAACTGTCCCATAGAGTTTCCAAGCAGTGGCTGGTGGATTTGAACTGCCTAACTTTTGGTTAGCAGCCAAGCTCTTAACCACTGTGCCACCAGGGCTTCATTTTATATCCCTAGTTAGATTTACTCCTAAGTATTTTTTCTTTTGGGGGCTACTGTAAATGGTATTGTTATCCTGATTTCTTTTTCAGAGTTCTCTTAGTCAGTGTAGAGGAATCCAGCTGATTTTTGTATGTTGATCTTGTGCTCTGCCACTTTGGTGAACCCTTCTATTAGTTCTAGAAACTTTCTTGTGGAGTTTCTAGGATTTTCTGTGTATAGGATCATGTCATCTGTGAATAGGGATACTTTTACTTCTTCCAAACCAGTCTGGATACCCTTTATTTCCCTTTCTTGCTTACTGCTCTAGCTAGGACTTCCAGTGCAATTTTGAATAAGAGTGGTGATAAAGGACATCCTTGTCTGGTTCCCAATCTCAAGGGGAATGCTTTCAGTCTTGCTCTGCTGAGAATGATGTTGGCTGTTGGTTTTGTATATATGCCCTTAATTATGTTGAGGAATTTCCTTTCTATTCCTATTTTGCTGAGTTTTTATCAGGAAAGTGTGCTGGATTTTATCAAATGCCTTTCTGTATTGACTGAGATTATCATGTGATTCTCTTCCTTTGCTTTATTTATGTGGTGAATTATGTTGATTGATTTTCTAATGTTGAACCACCCTTGCATCCCTGGTATGAATCTCACTTGATCATGATGTATTATTTTTTTGATATGCAGTTGAATTCTATTGGCTAGAATTTTTTTTGAGAATTTTTGTGTCTATATTCATGAGGG